AGCACAGAAGAGATCGGGAATGGAGCCTTCATCCTCTGGTCTGCACTGCAACAATGCTTTGCCCACTAGGCCATTGGGAGACTTGAGTTTTTTTTTAAAAAGGGTAGTGTTTTGTGCTGTCATGCTAAAGCATGATGTATGCACAGAGAGGGAGCGAAATGCTCTCAGGTAATAAAATAAGTAGGTTATGTAGGTGAGGTACCAGTGTTTTATGTATCCAATGACCTTGAGGGATTTTGCTGGCATCCTTCTTCCATATTGTGACTGGGGGACCTAAACCTATTTTTTTTTAAAAAGCAGATACAATATATACAACAAGTGCAGATTAAACCCTTGATGTTCATTTGTTTGGAATGATCTGGGATTCAGGCAATGTTCCCTGGTTCCTGAGACCCACAGATATAATCTAAATAAGCTCACTTTCTAACTGAAAAACCCTGGTCTGCCTTCCAATGGACCCAATGAAAATACTCATCTAACTGGATCTGACATTTACTTGTAGTGGATGAGTTATTCCTGTACCTATGAAATTTGGCAAGAAACCACTAGGAGATCAATTAGCTCCCAGAGCAGGGCAAAAGGTAAAATTTAATGTAAAGTTCATTAAATTGTTTTCTGAAGGAAAGGAAAAGGTATTCAATTCTTGGAGAAGAGAAGTAAAATCTTAAAGGGCAGTACAAATATCTAGCTGAACAGTACATATCAATACTGAATGTGGTTCATTATTTGCCCAAAGCAAATTGATCTTTCCACCAGTATTATTTGTAAGCAGAGTATGTCCTTAAGTATTTATACCATTATCCTGCTCTTTATTGAAATTGCACAACAAGCATTCATTCAAGCAGTCTGATTTTCTTCTTCTGTTTTCTACTTTGCTTGAATCAGTTTACATAGACTTGGACAGCTTTATCCCTGCTTGTTTGTTGTGATTTAACAAGTCATTTGGATGTGGTCCAGGAAAATAAATTGGTTTCTGTCCTTTTTACTAGTTTGACTAAATCCAATGCCATTAGTCTACAACACTGGGCACAGACAAGCGAATGTAATCTGCCCCTTCAAAGGAAATTGTAAGCAACATGGGCTCATGTAGACTTTGAATATCTCAGTTAATGTCAGCCACATTCTTGAAGACATTAAACTTTGGTTTTAGTTTCCTTTTTAAGATGTTTATTATGTATTAAAAAAAAACTGCCTTCCCAAGACAAGTCTTGTAGCTGCAAATTTTGTTCTATCCTTGATTTATGATAAACTGTAATTCAAAAATACATTTTATTTTATTTTCCTGAGCATCCTATTTTTGTTTGTGTATTTAGCAAGTATTTGAGGATTACCACGAAATAGTTGAGTAGCACTGGGAATCTCCTTAGACGTAGCATACTTGTGCTTTAGTTATTTTACAGAGCTTCTGTCGATGGCAGGTTCAATCTATCTGGCAATAATGTAAAGTAAATGAGGTGCCAGTTTGGTTCAGATGGTAGCATTCGGCTCTGGGTCAGAAGGTTATGGGGATCGATCATAGTCAGCCCAAACTATGAGTTCAAATCCCAATGTGGCTATAATTATAACATTAAACCAAGATCCCTAATATATTTTCTGGTGGATTGATATTATTGATATTATTCTAAAGGTGAAGGGAGTTTATTTTCGTGTCCTGTCCAACAATGCCCCAGGTAACATTGGTCATTCACTTCCTGGCAGTTTGTGGTAGTGTGCTATACACACATTGGCTGCCACGTTTGTCTGCAAATAGTCACTACATTTTACAGTAAATCCTGTGAAGCATTTGTGAGATATTTTGGTGATGTGATAAGACGCTGTACCAAATGCATTATCTCCCAGCAAGGCTTACACTAAATCTTTCTAAAGCATTTTGGGATGTGATGCTGTGACTTGAGGTTATGAGACCCATTTAAAGAGACTGATTTGTCAGGTACCTTCAGAATCAGTGGCACTACTAAAGTTTACTACTAAATACATCTCGCTTATCTGCTCAGGTCAGTGGAACATTTGCTATGTTGCTGTCGCCAGAAAAGTTGTCAACTGTGATCTGAAACAAAACCAACAAGAGCATCCATAATCTGGGCACTCTGGAATCCATCCTTCAATATAAATTAATTCCAAAACACATGGAACCAGTAACAATATTGTAAGGATTGATTTTAAAATGTAAATGGAGTGCAGGTTTAGCTTGTGTCAAAGGGGTTTTGCTACAGGAGAGTAGTGCCTGAACACTGGCAAGCGTGGCAACCACGTTTGGTTGGATTAAAAATAACTAATAATTAACTGGTCTGAGTGCTCAACAGTGTCTTTCCTGCAACAATCCAATTAACTCAGTGAGGTACAATAAACTCAAGCACTTCTAACTTTTGGTAGAATTTACTTGAAGCTGTATAAGTGCAATGTTCAGTTATTTGCTGGAGAATCTCAGTAAGTACATAATAGCACAGACAGTGGTATAACTGCAAGTTTTAACTAAGTGTTTTTTGCTGAATGCACAAATCTGCAAAGTATGTGACTGAATAAATAATAGTATTGGCACAACTTGCTCTCTGTAAAGCCTACTTTAGCAAAAAGTTGATTTTGAAAACAAATGATGACAATTAAGTACATTTGATATGCCTTTCAATTCTGTTGAGATGAATTTATTGATGCAATTAAAAATGAGCCAAGTGAAGAAAATCATTTAGGTCCAGTGCAAATTTGTAATCATAACTACAGATAGATATTTTAGAGCCCACTACTGCAATGCTTTCTCTGTTCCTGCTTGTGTATCCATAAATGAGTAAAATACAACCAAACCCATTTATGTTTAGTTAACTGTTAAAATACCATTGCTATTATTGCAACGTTTTATGATTGCAGAAAAATGTCAAGAAGTGGGTTTGATAACAATGCTCACTTGTATAGTCCTCTTTCACATAGTATGAAAGTCTTAAAGCACTTGATGGATCCAAGACTACCTGTTGTAAGCCACCTTGCTGGAGTGCATGTCTGCTTCGTTGATGCTATTATTTATACATGTCTTTCTATTGACTAAATGCTTATTGCTCTGTCGGAGTTTCTGGCAAGATTTAGTCCTATTGCTGTAATAACATTGACAACTTTTTGTTTAGCTACTGAATATTGTGGTTGCAGTAGCTTTGTCAGATATTTCCTTCATTGTAAGTACTTGAAGTACTTCTATTGCTCTTGACATGTTTAGCAGAGATTTTTGGCATTTCACTTGGTTGTATTTTAACAAATCTTGAAAAATGCTTTTACAGCAGTAGTATCATGACTTATTTATACTTGACTCAACAGAATTTAGATTTTTTTTAAACAAAAAATAGTGTGTAATCTTACAATTCAGTGGAATACTATCCCACAATAATCAGAAAATCGCAGGCTTGATTCACAGTCTGGTTATTTGATCTCAGCCGAGGCAGTGGTTGACTGCAATTGGCTTTAGTGTCCCTGAATTATGAGACCCTCCACTTATAGGCATTAGTGTCCCTGAATTATGAGACCCCACCCTCCTTGCTTTCCACCCCTCTTGAACCCAACCCCCAGCTTGGCTGCAAATCATTGCCTGCATAGCATTTAGGGATGTCCTTCCAACATGAAAGGTGCTATCCAAATGTAATTGACTGTTGTTGAACTAGAAAATAAAAAATTTAGCCAGGATTTGTGGGCCCGATCACTATCCAGGGATCCTCGGTGGAACTTGTTTGTATGGACAATAGCCTAAAACAGAATTGAGATTTTTTAAATTTTGGTCAGCTGGGTGTCTGATATGTAGAAACCCATTACCATACTTATGAGTACCAAAACCAGACAAGAGTCCCACATATGCATGCTACCTGCGCATGTCTGGAATGGCATGCGCACTCTCTACCTGGAGGGAAGCCCCTTGCTTAAATGATTCTGAGGAGAATTGGGTTCTAATGCATGGAGAACCCACCGTGTGCAGTGAGATAGTACTAGAGTTTACCAGCTAAAACCGTACAGGTTGCCACTTCTGTCTGGGAATTCCAACGAGCCATAACCAAGCACGTCACGCCAGTTCAGCCCCAAAGAGGAACTTTCTTACCCCCACCCCCAATGGAGAATAGTCACTAGTTTATTTTACATCTAGCCTTCAGTGGGTAGATAACAATTATTAGGAACTCCCTGTGAGCTTCCTGGTGCTGATGCCTGCTACAACTGAGTCACCTGCTGGTGTATTCTTATCTTTGTTCACAAGCGAAGAAGGGTGGCCACTCGGATATGTTATTGGAGGGGTGTGGAACCAAACTGCAAGTGGGTGTGTTTGTGTGAGGATGGAAAAAAAGAGGTTGTGGATGCATTTGTTTGATGAGCTTAAGTAGGTTATCTTGTGTAAGAAAAATTGTAAAATTGAGTTAAAAATCATTTTTTAGTGACAGAAACATAAATGTATTAGTAAACATTTCATCTCTGATGTTAAAGTAAAACAAAACCTAAATTAAGACCAAATATCAAAGGATTGGATTGGATTAATCCTAATAGTTTAGAAAAAATCAAGCTTTTTGGTATAGACTAGGAGAAAGTGGGACAAAGAAAGCGGGCCAAAAGTTATACTGAAACAAAAGATTGGAAAAGGGAGAGGAGAAAGAGAGGGACACAGCAAAAGCTTTCATCATCTTGGTGAAAGAAACTACTCCTATTTGGTTAGTGGAATGTTCCAACTCTGATTTATTCTGAGAAGGCCCTCTGGCTAATGCTTTTTACTCTTAATTTTAATTATCACTTGTGTTTTTCAAGGCCCCTAATGTGACTGGAGGCAAGATGTTAAATGACGACTGTTTGAAACCTCCTACATAACCAACGACTAATCTGGACCACATTTCACAGTATCTATTTTTGTCATGGAAAAGTGGCCTGCTCCATATAATCATTTGTGAGTTGCACCACAATGATATCATGCATAGTGTTAGAAGGTGATGTTGGAACGTAAAATGGAAGCTATTATAAATTCTATTTATTTGGTCCCTGTTTTTAAGAGTTGAGGACAACCAGGCACCTGCAATGCTGCTCTTGAAGCAGTCGCTAGGAGGGGCACAGAAAAGGCTGGGGGATGTCAGATTTCATCCTTCTGTGTGGAGGTAAGTGTCTCTCTGGCCTCCACCAAGTACTTTTTTTTTCCTCCTCCACCTGCAGGTGGTAAGATTGATTGGGAGTTTTTTTTTCTGATTCTTCTCCAAAAGATGCCGACTGTTGCTTGGGCATACGGTTCTGTGGTTATTTGCAGGGAGTTCCTGGTAACTGCTATCTACCCAGTGAGAGCTCAAACCTTTGCTTGCATCCTTTCAGCAGCCAAACATTTTGGGGACTCTAGACTTTAAATATAGAAGGCAATTAGATTGTGGAGGGCATCACAACAATTATGCTGTGTGATTATCCTTGTTTGACTTTCAAATCTACGCTCTCCAGCAGGACACTGGATAGCAATTGGGATAGCACTGGCTATTTCCTCTTCTCTCCCTTCTCTTTCTCCCCTTGACCCTGCCCAGAGGCACCAAGGCCCATCTGTTGCTCTGGTTGAAATCTGTAAATTGAGCACAGAATGAGAATTGATCTGGGGACCTGCTGGTCTGTATGGCTTAATGCTTGCACTAATATGCTCTTCAACTTCTTGGATATTTAAAGAGTATCTTGGAGCTTGCAATATGTAAATTGATGTTTGGAATGAAAGTTGAAATTCTTTTTCAATTGCAATTGTGTCAAGTAACGCAAGTGACCCGATGTAGTCATCGGGTATTGTTGGTGCTTTTTGGTTAACAATTTGACTGAAGACTGCTGAAGCATCCAAGATGTAACATCAAACTGAAGATGCAGGAAAACTCGCATGAGTGTTATATTTATAAATTGTATGATCGCCAAAGTCGGACATGTACCTGAGTCCCATTCAGTTTCTAAACCAAAAAACACTTCGATTTCTTTGTGCTAGTCTTATTTTATAAATCGGATAAGCGGCTAAATCCTATTGGTATCATATGGATCCAAATACATCCTAAATCCTTTGCAAATCATCTCTTACTTGTAACTAACATAAGTTGTATAATATATAACGTTGTATAATATATAACTATTATACGACTTATGCAAATTTGCCTGTAAGTCGTGCTTCTTGCAAATCATATTAAACACCCAAACATTTTTGGGGGGATGAAAGGGGCGTCGGGATTCAGTTTGGCTTGAAATTGCACAGTAGTTTCTCTGACGTTTGTGGAGTTTGATGACATTGTGTATAACTTTTTGTCAATACTGTTAACTGGAGGTGTTTATTGTCAAATTGGGTGCTGCTTATTACACACAAATAATTCAAAATACATCTCTGGTTGTCATTTTCAGTAATTTAGAAAGATACTTTGATCTGACTACTATTGCTTGTATGAGTACTATTTCAATTAAGCTCTTTAAAAAGAGAAATATTACTGTTGACTTTGGCACTTTTGTTTCATTTAGTGTAAAAATAATCGGTTCACAAGTCTAATGAGTCTTCTTGCTGGTCATAAATTGTGATGACCAGCAGCAGCCCAGTAATTATATGGTAACCAGAAACAAGTGTACAAGATTTTTTTAAAAAAAGATTGGCCCCAGGCAAAAATCTATTGTATTAAAAGTAAATGAGATGTGGGAGGTTACAAAGGGAATTAAAGGATTAAGGTTACCTTATAGGTCAAAGTTAACAGATGTATTTGTATGTAGACAATAACATTGATGACCCAATTTGTGGATATAATTGGTGCTATCAGATGTGTTTGTGTGGGGGGAGGAAGAGAAAAAAGTGTTTGACATGTGTAATTGAGATCAGGGTAATTGTGTATTGTGCTTGGAATTCACAATTGTATATTTTACAATTTCCAGAGTTATTAGTTTTGTCATTGCCTGACATTCCTTGCACTTTTTGCTGCAACTCTGAGTTCTGAGAAAAACTTGTGATAAACTTCATGGGAGAATATTCAATGTCCACTCATAAGGCTGAATGATTTTTGTGGTTAATAATTCTTACGTTTGATCTGACGCCTTTCATGACAGGAGGGTGTGTTAAAATGCTTCAAAGTAAAGTCTGCAGAGTGGCTGTGTATATCATGGGTGAACATGGCAGCCAATTGCGCACAACAATATCCAACAAGCAGCCATGAAGTGAATGACCAATTTTATTTGAGGGATTGTTGACCGGGAGAAAGTCCTTTTTCTTTCTGAAGAATGCCATACAACCTTTAATGTCCACCTGAACAGGCAAATAGGACTTTGGTTTTAATGTCTCAGCCACAACTCCAACAATACAGCGCTCACTGGAGTAAGCAAAGTCATTTATGGATCAACCTCTCCCATACTGGTTGAGACATTTGAGCCCCCAATTAAATTAGGATGAAAGAAGATCTAAGAGAATAGTCCATATAGCACTTTTAAGTTTTATTTTGTCTGTCATTTGGGGAATGACTTCCTTTTAGGTATCTTTCAGTTTTCTTATCCTTTAGCACGTTTAGAAACTTGCACTACCAGTCGAGATGCACCACAAATGTTTGGCAAGATGTTTAGAGAGAGTATTTCACGACTCTTTGGAGGTGCTTGGTTGACATGTCTATCTGGCTGCTTATTGTCATTCCAGTTGGGAGATTGCATGGTGCTGAAATCTACTTCCTGTCGGTTGCTCTGGAAATGGCAGGTGGCTCCAATGCTGGAGAGCTGGGCACAACAGCAAAGACAGTAAACACTGTTGATGGCATATTCTGTGGTGGGACCTCACCATGTTAAATGCACTTATGCATTGCACTATGGAATAATATTGCTGCAATCCTCAGGGCTCTACTTGCATCAAACATTGGATCGGTCTAATCTGCCTTCAATATATTCCATCCAGCTACTTGGGCAATGTTGTAGTTCGAGGTACAGATTTCTGGCATCTGCCTGAATCCTGTAACAAGTATTTAGAAGATGTTTCGCCCATAAACTATATAGTTAATTCACTTTACAGTATATTCTGTGAAGAGCTTTGAGACGTCTCGAAGACGTGATCGGGCGTTATATCAAATGCAATGATTATTACACTTACTTATCAGAAAATTTCAGTCGCTGGTCATTATACTCAACAATATTGTTGATTCATCCCAAAAATAAATTTCGAGCACATCTTGAGTTTCCTGTCTTCTTGCCTTCCCCTTTGGTCTAGATTAATTGTTGACAAATAGTCTGTATTGAATTACATATTATAGATGATGGACAGTATTTTCCAGACATGTTACACCTCCTATGAGATGCACTGAGACCAGAAATGCATCAGGGTATACTTTTAGGCCAATCGTTCAATCTTTTTTTTTTGTGTTCTTCAATCACTACATACTGGATACAATATTTATCTAACTGGTTGGTCCACGTGGTGAAACCAACATGGGTCCACAGCCTTATAAGCGAACCAAAAATAATAAGGGGGCACTTTATAATGGGGTTGATTAGAATTACGTAATGTTCACTAAAGTTTACATGATAATAATCCTTGCATTTGCTATAGCGCTTTTCACGTCTTCTCGACGTCTTAAAGCGCTTCACAGAATGTACAGAATTGACTTTTTTTGTAGGCGAAACGCGGCAGCCAGTTGCGCACAGCAGTGTCCATCAAACAGTCGTAGATTGAGTGACCAAATTGATTTTTTTTTTGCTTTTCTTGAGGGATTATTACAGACGTGTGGAGTAAGGAAACTTGCCCAAGGTTTCACCCTGCCGGGAATCAAACCCAGCATGGCGAGTGTTCTAACCAGTGACCTGCAGGACTCCATGATGCAATCTGTTGTCACAATAGCTTTTTTGAATTCGTACCAAAATGCACGATAACTGCAGTTTGCTCAACTATGCTATCTCATTGGGGATTATCCCTGTGAATATAAATGAGTCCCAAGAGATTAATGTAGTATCATTAATATGGTGGTTGGCTTTCCAAAGTAAATTCTTCATTATTTATCTTTGGAGATTGAATTGGAGATTTTTTTTGCATGGCACCTTACAAATGCAGTTGAAATTTTTTTTAAAAACTGAGTAACACGTCTGTTTTTTCAGTTCTGTCAAGGTGTAGGTTATGCATTTGACCATTGAATTGATTTTAAACGAAAGACTGTTTTCATTATCCTATCAAGTGGGACTATACAAATAATGCTGGGGAACATTTTGCAGGTTTTATTTCTTCAGCTTTTGAATAAACCAACCAACATTTTTACATAGTTGTATTACTTTGACTTAATTGTATTGCTGGTAGCTTTAAATGTAGAGACACATGTCTGGGGAGGAGAGAAGGAAGCCAGTTCAAAGTACAATGGACATATAGTGTTAGGGGTATTAAATAATCTGCATTTGAGAGTGCTGTAGTTTGACCCCTTAAGAATACACCTACATGTTATTGACTTTGTATTTATAGTTATCACATTATGGAGAAACTATGAAGGGCATTGATTCAGCGTCAAATGTTGTGGTAATTTGCAGTTTTCTCGACTGCACCTGCAGGCCACTGGAGCTATATCGCTTGTATTTTTGGAACTAGGACTTAATCATTTGAATACTGTTTTCCTGTTAATGGATTTCTACTCTGGAGACCCTGTTTTGGCAGGCGGTTTCTGCACCTTTAGTACATTGTTGCTGTGGAGTATACTGTAGATTTTTAAAATTCTCTTAACCCTCGCTAGTGAGGCTGTTCTTTTTAAAAAAAATCTTAGAAATATCTGCGTTCATCAAACCTTTTAATGAGTCACTAAAATTGGGTTTGAGGAGGAGAGGAATACAAGCAGCACCTGGAGAGAGACTGTAACAGAGGAATGAATTGTTTATAAATCCAAAATTCCAGTGGCATCTAGGGACAGACCTTTTCTAGTTTTCTTTAAAATTGCTATACATTTATGCATGAACCTTGGTGTGTGCCTGTAGTCTTTTAAGAGTGACTTGGAGCATTTTTTAAAATTTGACTTGGGTTTGTTTCAGTTTGACTAAATTATCATCTGAGCTGGAATCGCGGCAAGCGACAGATTGTTGCACCCATTTTGGATCGTTACCCAGAAAGCATTGGAGGGAGGAGAAGCAATGGTATCCCAGAGGTGCACAGTTGCCATCCACA